AATAAGTCTTTATTAAGAATTTAAGATTTAAGATGCTTTATCGCTTTATGCAATAGTCTTTTTTGCCCCTTTACTGGTTGTCTGGTTTTTATCTTTTCTGCTAAACTCATAAGAAGTACCCAAAGTCTCAATACTCCGATTCATATCTAAAAGGCTAAAATTGCAATTCTATTTGGTTGGGCTTAACCCAACCTTAACCTATTTGTAGTTTTATCCCAAATACTTCTATAAATCCAAAATCTTAAAAAAAAAAGTAAGTACTAAGTACAATATATAAATTATAAAGGTTTGTGAAAAAAAAAACAGAATTGGCATTTGATCTAATAATTTATTTACTTTAAAAATGAATAATTCAATATAAATAAAGAAAGCAAAACATATAAACACAATTGATTGATGCATATTTATAGATAATCCAACAAAATGAATTATTGTAGATTAACTTTTAATACCCTATAAAATACCAAATGAATTACAGTGACTTTCATCTCGAGAAGTTTCTTTATTTCGAAAATTTTCAAAATTAGAAGAAAAGAAGAAATGATACATGAGACGCCGTTGATATTATTATCAGCAATTTTATTTTTACCCAAGAATTATGTATCTGTTTTTCATTTTCGAACATTATGAATATAGGGTTAATTATATAAAAACTATATACTTTCGAGTTTTTTCTCGGTTTAAGCCCAAACATGTTTATTATATTTCGAAAACCCCCACATTTTTAGTTTTTATTTTATTTTATTTTTTTTAGTAGATTTATCGGCAGTATGATGGTGAGACATTTTTCATCTAAAAACATTAACTTTTTTTCAAAAAAAAAAAAAAAAAAAAAAAAACTCCCACGTTTAACAAATTTGTTTCTTTGTAACAACTTTCACTTTGTCTCGTAATTCTTATGGTCTTTTTCTGTTGTTGTTTATGGCGTCTTATGGAGGAATATGGAGGTTTGATTGTATATGTTTACTAATTTTGAGATTAAAGATTTTGTGTCTAGTCACTCAGATGAAATTATATCATAAATGATTTCACTTCTGCTAATTTAGATACCAAATGTTATATATCTTGTATCTTGGGTGGAATCCAGGGGAGGATTTATGTTGTTGCACGGGTAGCTCGTGTGACCCCCTATATTATAAATCTAAAATATTTAAAGTCCAAATTTAATAGTCCATTCTTTTAAAATAGCCCAAAATATATAAGCCCAATTGTTTAATGATAAGAAATAACTCAATCCAAATCTTATACCCATTTCATTAAAAAAAAAATTGACGTGGGTAACAAAACAAAAGGCACGATCGAACCCCTGTTGCCTTCGCCCTTCTTGCTCGAATTGGAGATACTAGATAAGGTTCACATTATAGAACAATTGTAAGATTGATGAATTTGTTTGCAAAAGTTGTTGAGGTAAGACTTTGTTTGGCGTACTAGCTGAAAAGTTAGCTATAAAAAATAATGTTTGATAAAACTAGCTGAAATATATAAAATTACATAAAATGACATGTAAGAATATGTGGTTCTATAATTAATTAAGGGGTGTATTTGAAATTTTTTTAAAAAACTCCTAAAAAGCTAGTCTAAGTAGCTTTTCAAAAAACTAGCTTATAAGCTACTTTTTGGTTTACCAAACATGACAACATACAAAGCTCGAAAAATAAGCTAGCTTATCAGCTAGCTGTGGCGCGCCAAACACAACCTTAATTATGTCAAAGATGAGGGGTCTAGTTTATATAACCATAATCAAGAAAATGGTATTTTATCATATTTTCAAGACACTTGATTTCATGTTTCTTTTACACTTGATGTTGGAAATTCTAGGTCTCGTCGATACCTTGTCAAAACATCTTCAAAAAAAAGATCAAGATAATTTGGAAGCGGCCTCATTAGTAAAAGGGACAACGAAAGCATTACTAGTTTTTAGAAAAGATGGATTTCCACAAATTTGGAAGTAGATATGTGCTTTTTGTGAAAAACTTAGTATTAAAATTGTGGGCATGTTGGAATATTATGTTATCGCACGAAAGCGTAGGACTAATATGACTAAACAATATCATTTTGATGTTGTCATTTTTAACACGATTTTGGCTATGCAAATTCAAGAATTTGGGGATCGATTTAGTGAAGTTGGCACGAAACTGATAGAGAACCTGGCGGCTTTGATTCCTTATGACTCGTATTCTAGTTTTGATAAATTAAAGTTGTTGAATCTAAGTGAGATATACAAAATTGATTTTGACGATTCAGGGTTCATCTTAATGGGCAACATGATATCTATTATCACTTTTTGCTCCATGATGAGAAATTTTTCAAGTTGAAAGGAATTGCGGACCTCTTTCGTTTGTTGGTGGAAACAGGGAAGCACTTCTCTTATCTTTTGGTTTATAGATTTTTTAAAACTAACTTTGGTTTTGACAATCGCAACTGTAACCGTTAAAAGATGTTTTTCTGCAATGAAGTTGTCGAAGACCGATTTGTGTAATAGAATAGGTGAAGATTTTATGAATTATACTTTGATTTGTAGTGTAGAAAAAACACTTGAGAATATAAAATCTGAAAATATAATTATTCACTTTCGGAAAATAAAAGATAGAAGAGATGACCTTTAAAATGTAACTTTGACACTTTTTTATGTCTAATGAAATGGTGGTTTTTTTTTCTTATTGTATATTATGCAGAATTTTTTTTTGGTGCTACCCCTTTACTTTGACATTGGCTCCGCCACAGGAGGAATCATATCATAAATAGTTATGTGTTTACTAATTTGGAGAGTGAATGTTATGTATCTACTAATTAGATGAAATCGTATAACACATGATTATGTGTCTCCTAATATAGGGACGAAGGTTCTGCTTATGCAAATTTGGAGACCGGAGATTATATTTTTGCTAACTTTGAATGAATCGTATCATAAATCGTTTTGCGGCTAATAATTTTGATACCAAAGGTTTTGCATCTGCTAGCTTGGAGACTAATTGTTTTGCGTTTGAAAATAAATAACAATGCAAGAGTAAGGAATTTTTTGACTTCTATTTTTTTCATATGACTATTGATGGGAAATGTTGAGTTTCAAAGAAATCTAATGAGATTATTATTAATCAAATCACTTATGAGATTGACAATATTTTTAATGGAAAAAACATAAAAACTAAGATAAGAATTTGCTAACATAGATTGGAGTTTGAGAACGTATGATTCTAAAAATAATATAATGTGCCAAGCCAATTTAGATAGATGTTTTTCACCCACTACAGTCTCTTATAATCTCTAGGTAACCTATAATATCCATTTTGCCAACAAAAATTAGACAAAACTTTTCTCCTCGTTTAAAAAACAATATAATATTTCCTTGAGATATTAATGTTCAAAACCACCTAGAGCATAATAAACATCATAATGGACATGTAAATTATTAGCCGAAAAGAATAGTTAGATCCAAAGAAAAAAAAGTTTTGTCAAAACCGGCAAGATTATATTGTTTTTATTATATATCCATTTTTTTTTTTTGCGATTTAACCACTATATTTTATTTTAATCGATATGATCCATTTTTAAAGAAAATTCCATTTTGACCTCCTAATTTTGGTTTAACGTCTGTTAATATTGACATGACTTCTGATTAACCTACATGACATAATATATACTTACTAAAATTTGAAATAATTTCTCATATATCTAATATTGTATGTGTATGACTTGCTAAACTGAAAAATGACAAGTCATTTCAAAAAGCATGATTTTATTTCATAGAATACATATGATATCATGTAGGTAATAAGAAACCATGTTAATTTTAATACCTCCTAAACTAACATAATGGTCACACCGAATATTTATTTAGAAAAATATGTGACTTTGATTGGCCAAAATAAAATGCAACAGTTTAACCGCGAAATTATCAATATATAGTGGTTTTATTGTCTTGTTTTTGTCATATAAACAATTTGTTTATTACTTACTGATTACTTGTAAAACCTATTAAGAGTGTTAAAACGAAAAAAATGAGTTTTTTTTTTAAATAAATAAAATATTAAGTTTAAAACAAAATAATAGTAAAATATATGGTTTTTTACAGGAAAAAATAAATATTCTCTTACCTTTTATTCATATCTATCTTCCTACTTATATAAAATAACTAGATTATGACCCGTGTAAAACGCGGGAAACATATAAAGTTATAAAAAGCCGACACAGTATCAAGATGGTTTTCAAAAGACGGATAAATGAGCAATACAATTGAATAAATATGGTCACTTGTAGAGCAACAAACTTTGTTTCTACTTACTGAATACAAACATGTGGGCAAAGTTTAAAAAGATTCATACTATACTATGTACGATAATTGTCTTTCATGTGCTAAGTATTAGATGTGTGATGAAAGAAAAGTCATTCATTTTATATGTATAAATTTTTTATAATAATTATTAATAATGTCAATACATATTTAATTGCAATATATTTAAGTAAAAATGATAAATTGATGATGCTATACGAATCAGTTAAGTAAATATAAAAACTACATCCTTATTATTGGAAAAAGGAATAGTACATTGCTACTTTTTCAAAAACAACACTAAAAAATCGAAACACATTGGTTTTATTTATAAACATAAATGACACACTTTTTCATAGAAAACGAATTGGATGCATTAATGGCTTAAAATGAATTTATTAAATTCTTCAAACATATATTAAAAAAATTAATATCATAAAACAAATCCATTCTTAAAATAAATTAGAATAAATGTTAAGCATTGAGTACCTATTACAGTAGTTATACCTTATAATTAAACTTATTAAGATAATTAGCTAAAATTGCACTGAATCATGATGAGCATGTTACCTTTTTTAAAGTCGGATGGTTATTACTCGTTGTATGATTGTATTCTCTAATATATATACTTTCACAAAATTATATTTAGAAAAATTTCATCATGTTGATAATATGATAATGTGTATTTTATTTATCAATAGAAATTCTATAATAATACACTCAAAATTTATATGTATCATTTTGATAACATCATGTTTCAAACTTGAAAAGTACACAACGCTGAAAATGTAATTAACATGAGATTATGTAATTAACATGAGATTTCAAACTGGAAAATTACCAAAAATGAAAAATAAGATTTCAAAAGTTAAAATCAGTATTAGTGTACGCATCTGAACACTGAGAAAAATCCAAACTTGAATAAAGGAAGAAGGATCCTTACCTTAATATTCTTCAACAACTTAAAAAACTCAAAGGATTTGTATAAAATCCCCCTTAAGCCCTATATTTCTGAAATCGCAGCTTAAACATGACAACCTTAAAATTCTTTCTGTTTCCACTAAAATAAAAACAGTGTCACAGAGAAATCAAGATTGAAATTTTCAGGAGAAAACTTTTCCAAAATGAAAAAAAGAACGTTAAACATATGCTACAATGGAAAAGAATTTACCTACAGAATAATTGGTTGAGTCAAGCAATTGAAAAATAGTTTAAGCAACAAATAGATATCACTATCTATATGGTTACAAAGTAAAAAAGACTAAGCATTTTCTTTTACTATAATATGTGCAAAAATATTACCTGAGAAAATAAGTATGTTCCTTCCTTTAGGTAACATCTGCATGTAAGGTTTTCAATGATGAAGATGTTGACAAATACTCTGCCATTTCTTTTGCAGGCCGACAACTTTGGCATGCACTGTAACAGGATTGTATTGGGTTTGCATGATATTTGTTTCAGGGTTTATGGAAAGTTGAGAAGTTTGTAGCCAAGAAGGTAAGGTTGCTCGATAATGGTTTAAAATTGACCTGCCGTCCTTTAGAAATAGCATTTACTTCTAGCTTTAATTTGTCATCACAAATGTAACACACATATACAAAATGGTTTGAGAACCTTAATGGAGTCTTGATATCATATGCCATGGAGAAGAACCCTCCAAATGGAACAAATGACTCCAATAGGCTGCAAATATATAGCAACATGCAAATCATGATTAGAATTAGAATTTACTTGTATATAAATTAAACGTTGATAAGATGAGACTGGTTATTTTAGGTTTTACTACCTAGACTTTATTGAATTGATAGGAAGAACATGGAGGTTCACTCTTCTTTGAAGTTTCAAGTTTCAACTACCATCAAGGACATACAGAAACAAACCTTTTTATTAGCACTTAACTCGTTTGAGTTCAACAATAAATCAAAAATAAAAACAAAAATGACAAAAATAAACTACATCAGGAAAGAAATATACCATCAAGTCTCTTGATGAACCTAAATCCAAGATCCAGTAACTGCACACATAATAACATCAAAAATTAGAAGTAAACCTAAGATTTTTCTTGTTGATATTAAAAAAACACCTTCATGCTTAAGAAATCTTAATATGGCTTTTGGCGAACTAAGCAACCTTCATGGCTGGATATATCCTGAAAATCAGGAACAATGCCACATCTTATCATCATGTAACTTGGCCATTTTTCAAAAATAACAGTTGTTAATATGCAACATGTAAATTGTTGCCAGGGAACTAAAATTGCAAATGTTGATAGAGAAAGCAGAAAAACAAAAGTAGAGAAAGTATATAGAAGTTACCTCGTTATTTCTAAACCAAATCGAATAGCTACGTGATAATAGAAAGAACCATGAATGGCTGAGGGGTAAATACCATGGTCGAAAAGATGAAAAAACAACCCATAGTTAGGTATTGTGATACAGAGAAAAGGTGATTAAACATTATTCAATCAATTTTTTAGTAAACCTGATAACCAAAAAATTATTATTCAAGGATTTTCTATTTTTGCATTGCTTCATCTACACACATTACCATGAAAAACTATCAATCACTGTTGTGATATCATCTTTTAAACCATCAGGAGAATGCATGGAAAAGGAACAACAAAAAATTTAAGCAACACAAAACTACCATTAAATGAATCAGACATTTAGAAATGTGATGACAGAACCAAATAAAGATATCATCTGGTAACATACCCTTGGTAGATAGCATCTGGTAGCAGGCAAAGTGAAAGAGCTTCAAATCAACCGATTAATTAGCTATTATAACCCCACAAATAAAATGAATCAGACATTTGGTAGCAACTACAGATTCGAAATGCAAAAATATCATGCAAATATTAGTTTATATAACATTCAATCAATAATCTCATATTTAAGAGTTTATGCCTGATTGTAATTCTTCAACAGATGTCGATCAATAGGAATGAAACATGTGATAATTTTCCAAGGGATTACGATGCAAAAAAAAAGTTTTCAACAGAAAAGTAGGTCACACTGCCAAAAAAAAAGAGAAATATTTTGGATTACAATTAGCCGAAAATCGAAACAAGCGTGAAGCATCTATGGATTCTAGATATTTATTGGTTTGTACTAAAGTCATGATCAATGGAGTAGTTGAGATGTACAAGAAAGTAGATCATATATCCCTCTTATAACTTCTTTACCTAAAAGAAAAAACACATGAATAGGAAGAAGTTAGTAAAAAGAGACGAAATGAGAAGGGAAAAAGAATTAACAAATTAATTTATTCTGATGATTTTGTTGTGTACCTTCAGGTCTTCAACTGCCCTGCCTCAACGTACATCATATGTCTTCCTTATGCAACTTCTATCATCACGGACCGATGTATGCAATCGAAAAGTTACAATACATATGATGATTATATTTCAAAACCCCAAAAAGATTAAAGTTTCAAACATAAAACTTACTCAAAAAAAAAAACTCTGTACAATCAAGAACACAAATCAATCTAAAAGCCTCAGTTACATAATTTGCTGATCATAAAATTTGGTTCAATCATTTTATCAAACAGGTAGTGTGCACAAAAAATTCTGATTCATGTAGCCAGTGAGCACAAAGGGAACTATTTTTTCGCCTTTTACTAAAAAAAAAAGATGAAAACATACTCTTTCCATCAGAACACTTCCTTTAATCTTCATGCCCTTCATATATATGATATTTAAATATGAAAATGAAAGAAACTTCACCGGTACGAATGTGAAACGGGTATTTAGAAAAAAAAAACGATGTTGCTCTGATAAGAAAGCGGTCATCGGGTTTGAGGTTGAGGTCGATTACTAACTTATCTAAAAAACGGAGACCAAGAAATTAGATTGGATTCAGTGACTTATTGATGACGGGTAAGAAAAGCGATGGAAAAAGAAATATCAGATCAGTAAACATCTGCAATACCACAATTTTGGAATCAAACATCCTCTATAACCTTAGTAAGGTCACTGGTAAGGCAAAGCTGTGTTAGGAGACGATGGTGCGATAAGGTGAAGATTCAGGTTGGAGGGTGAGGTCGAGTAATAACTTATCTAAGAAATGGGGACCAAGAAATTAGATTTGATTTTGTGACTTACTGATAACGGGTAAGAGTAGCGATGGAAAAGAACTATGCAGCAAGTAGTGGAAGGGCCATGAATCACCAATCTTATTCAAGAAAATTCAGTTGCTTTTTTAAGGGTTTTTAGAGAACCAATTTCTACAGAGATAAAGTGGGAGACTCATGGTGAGGCGGTGGCTCATATACCGGTGGTGGGAAATAGAGAGAAAAAAGAACGTTGGAAGCCATCTAACAGGGAGTCCTTTAAAAGTATGGCTGATGGACGAATACAGAGAGAGTTTTTGGGAGTAGATTTAGGATTATAAAATTTTCCTCGTAGCACAACCAGGACATGGAGGATGAAGAGGATTATGGAATTATGGTTTAAAAGAGAAAGAAAGAGAAGAATAAAGATGGGTTGATTAATGTTTTTGGTTAGATTTATCGAGAAACTAATATCTCAGAGATAAATTGAATGATTTGTTTAAATTAAAAACATAATTGTTGAATTTAAAGATTTCATAATTAGTTGTAATTATGTTTGATAAAAATATAATATCTTAGAGATAAATTGAATGATTTGTTTAAATTAAAAACATAATTGCTGAATTTAAAGATTTCATAATTAGTTGTAATTATGTTTGATCAAAAATATAATATCTCAGAGATAAATTGAATGATTTGTTTAAATTAAAAACATAATTGCTGAATTTAAAGATTTCATAATTAGTTGTAATTGTGTTTGATCAAAAATTTAATGATGATGATGTCAGCGATTTGATCTAAAGGTGAAAAACATAGGATTAAAATACAATCAATGGTCTTGATTGTTTCATTGGTGAATTAAGGGTTTTTTTTAATAATATTTAGAAATGACATATGAAATCCATTAATTTTCTATATTATTCATTTCATTTTGATATTTGTTTTGATCTAATTAACAGAAGATGGATACGAGGATGTTTGATTTATATAAAAGAAAAAATATATATTCTCCTACTTTTAGTACCTGTCATTTACATACTCTATATAATTCAAACATTTGTCGTCATTTTATTGTTTTATTTGATTGGGATAGTAAAATAGTGACAAGTTTTTAATTATATGGAGTATGAGGATGATAGAAACTAAAAGTAAAAGAATATTCCATTACTCACGATGAAAATGTCTAAATAAGAATTATTGTTTATCATTGGTCTCTATAGAATAGTCATGAGACCTAATAGGTGATGTTAGCTACCTTGGTCAAACTATTATCAATTTATGCACATAATCAAC